CAAGAGATTGAACAGTCCCTGTCTTATAATCACTAATAATGATGCTACCCAATTCCCAGTACTCTACTATAACAATGTAAGTATTGAATGAATGATATACCATAGGGGCCTTTTTAGGGCAATAAATTTTGCAGATTCCACGATTTTTAAAGATTTGCGAAAATTACTTTCACAAAAATTTAATTAATACAGTACAAGATGGCAGACGGCATAAATTTGCAAAAATTATATCCGCAAAATTAAAATCCACAAAATTTATGGCCCTTGAAAAAAAGCACTGTACAGTACTGTACCATATAGCTACTTTTTTCCAAGGATAATGAATTTCACGATTTTTAAGATTTGTGAAATTAAATTCCTTGAAAATCAATTTAATATGGTAAAACATGGCAGAATAGTAGAAATTTGAGAAAATTAATTCTGAAAACTTCTGGATATGGGTTGTTTACAAAATTTATTATCCTTAAAAAACCGCTATACGGTATAACTGGTGATATTTGTTAGAGTTTTTTGTAATTTCCTACTAATAGAGAAATTTTTTTTAATATGAGGAATTTAATTTTGCTGGTTTAGGCATGTGTTGTTGATACACACATTAACTATTAATGATTGGAATTTAATTTTACACTTTTAAAATAAAATACCAGCAAATAATACCAACAGTTATGTACATGTACATGTACATGAATGTGATTTTATTATTTGTATGTTAGGTTGATGGTAAACGTGTTCCATTACAGTATGACAGAGTACTCTGTGATGTCCCCTGTAGGTAAGTATCATATCAGCATACACAGGGTTTTCCACAGGATTTTGCCATAGTGAATTGGGATTATGGGCCAAAAGGGTCACAGGCCAAATTTAGCCAAAATTAAAAAGGAGGAATTTGCCCTTTATATATTTTTCTTATTATGCATATATATGTACTTATATTGTGTAGACAGTTTGAGCCAATTCCGATCAAAATTGGATTTTATACAAGTTTTTTAAGCTGCAAAAAGTTGGCTGTATTATTATAGTACAGGATCATTGCTGGTCGAATTTTACCAAAATTGAGAAGGAGAAAATTTGCCATTTTTATATTTTTTCCTTATACATATATAATGTATATGTACTTATATTGCATGGAAAGTTTGCAGTTTGCATTGATTTTGATCAAAATTGGATTTTTATTATGAATTTTTAAAAGTTGCTAAAAATTGGGCCAAAGTACTATAGTACATGTTCACGGGTCAGATTTTGCCAAAATTGGAAGGAGAAAATTTTTTCATTTTATAATTTTTCCTGATACTGTAATTATGCAGTTACATGTATCTTGTTTATCAACTTCGCTGATCAAGTTTGGATTTTGTTATGATTTTTAAAAAGTTGCTCCAAATGCCATGTACATTTACTGTATCGTAGTGCTTGTCAGCTCATCAAACATATTGTCTACCTAACTTAGCATACTTTGTGGGAAACCCTGGGTATGCATGTACGTGTACATGAAGTTGTAGCATTTCTTTCATGTATATGGTGAATTGATGATGTAATTAACTGTATTGAATACATTACTTACATTTACATATACATGTATACTTATAATCTACATTTATTTATTATTAGAATTTGGTACATGTACAACATGTGCATATTATTCATGTACATTAATTTTGTTAATGTTATTTTGTCTTATTCATTTCTTATTACTGTATTCAGTGGTGATGGTACTATGAGAAAGAATCCAACAATATGGAGATCATGGAATTCTAGTACACCATTATCACTACACAGGTAATGTACTGTATCAATACTTTGTACATGTATAATGTATATTACCAACATTTGCTGTTTGGTTGTCTCAAAAAATTGCCCTCATACCGCATACCGGTTTATTTTCCTGGTAAAATATTTTTGTGAATTTCATGGTTTGTAATCAGTCGCGAAAATTTTTTGCCATGAAATTCTGCTCTCCATTGCCACGTGGTGCAGTCTGCAAGCAATTCGCAAAACTTAATTCTGCGAAATCTTAGAAATGCAAGATTCACAAAAATTTTCCACCACAAAGATAAACCGGTATATGATACTTTTAATGTAATTTATTTGCTAATTTTAATGTTATTTTTAACCTTACGAAAGACTATTAGCTACATGTACAGTACATGTATGTGGTTTGTGACATTTCTCTATATATTTTGCAGATTACAATTAAGACTGCTGATGAGGGGTCTGGAATTATTGAAGCCAGGGGGCAGACTGGTCTATTCAACGTGTTCAATGAATCCAATAGAAGATGAAGCAGTTATTGCTGGAGCATTGAAGTTTTGTAATGGATCAGTGGAACTGGTGGACACTTCTTCACTGTTACCTGGTCTGAAAAGGACCAATGGAGTTAATACATGGAAGGTAAGTAACTGTCGCATTTCACTTATCTTTAGCTGATTATTACTGATTTCTGGTCCTATTTTAAATTAGATTGTTATTAAAATGCACTGTCACATTTTAGCTGATTTTGATCAAAATTGGATTTTTTCACACATCATTAATGGTCGCCAATTTTGTGGTAAAAATTATGTTGTTGGTGAAACACATGTACTGTACAAAAGTATAAAGGGCCAATAAAAATGTAATGGAGAATTCTCTCCTAGCCATTTTTGAGCATAGACCAAAGTTACAGGTACATGTACATGTTGCTATAGCCTTTGGTTGTTGGCTCAATTTTTGAGCAACTTTAGAAAATTTGTAAAAAAATTCTGAATCAGCTCAAAGTTGATAAACAACATAAGATTGTGTATATGGAATTTGGCCAATGTGCATGTATATGTATCAGAAAGTATAATAAAAATTGAGAATTTTTTTCTTCCCCTGTACTATAGTACAGATCCTTTTGCTAAATTTTAAAGCAACTTAAAAAATATATTTTATTACAAATACAGGTCTTAACAAAGAATGGGGAATGGATTTCATCATATAAAGAGACTCCGTCTAATTTACTACACACAGTCCATTCATCAATGTTCCCTCCTACTGCACTAGAGGCTGACACATATCAGTTGAACCGATGGTACTTTATATTATTGCATAATTTACATACATGTACCGGTACATGTATGTACATGTATGTATGTACATGTACATGTATATTAGATTCTCGCATTCAATATATGCACTATCATACACAGATACATGTATGTTATAATTTATAAACAAGTACAGTATTAGTACATGCACACACGCACACGCGCACACACACACACACACACAAGCATCACATCAATAATAATAGTAATAGTACTACTGTTCATTCACATAATAATTATTAGTACTTATGTCTCATGCATGCCTCTACCACACAATCACATTTTCGCACCTTGTTAACACTATACTATTACACAATATGTACTGACACAGGCTTGCCTGAATAGAACATTCTAGAACATCATTCTCTAATATAAGCACACACTCTCTTGCTCTCTCTCCCTCTTTTGATTTTTTGCTATTGTCGAATGTTGATTCAATATCTTTATTTGTTGGCTATATCTCCTTCATTGTACTACCTGCTGACACTATACTGGTAAATCTATATCAGTATAATACTCTTTTAACTTGCTATTTTCGGGTTTCAGAATTAGCTCAAACAACTACATACATTAATATTACATACATGTAAATTGTAAAACCTATGGTTTTTTCTGAAAATTGGCTCTGAAGTCACCCCAAATTTGTATTACATTTTCTGATACATATTGATGTCCTTATGCTGTATAGAAAGTTTGAGCTGATTCCGACTTTAATTTTTTTCAAGTTACGGCCATTTTAAGAAAATGCCAAAATTCTGAAAAATACCCAAGGCTATAGCCCATGGTTTTTTCCAAAAAATGGCTCCGAAATCACCTCAAATTTTTATTACATTTTCTGATACATATTGATGTCCTTATGCTGTGTAGAAAGTTTCAGCTGATTCCGATTATGCAATTGGTTTATTTTTTTATTTCTTATTGTTTATTATTTTATTTATTTAATTTTTTGATTTTTTTTGGATAATAATTAGCTCATACATGTACATGTACTTTCTTTTTTATTTATGTACTCTTGCATTGGAGCATGCAGAATAAACAAATGTACCGTAAATCCTTAAATAGAAGCCGCATTCGAATAAACGCCGGGGTAGCAATAAAATTGAACTATAAATACGCAACACTAGCCTAGGAGTGACTCAGTAGTCTAGTGGATAATGCCTGAAGTTCCAGAAGTCAAAAGCATCAGGTTACGGGTTCGATTCCCGCTTTGGGCTGACGTTTTTTTATTTTTTATATATTTTTTCGAGATCCAAATACCGTATAGCCAAAAAATTTCGTGAGGAATAAATTTCGGTATTTTCGTGATCACTGTTTGCATCACGAAAAATAAAGCCCCCGAAAAATAAAGCCCCGAAAATAAATTAATTAAAGGGAGTGGTCAACCACGCCTAGAATACACGTGTGCGCATGCCCTCTTGTCTAAACAAGTCGTGTTCTCAAGCTGATGTCTCTCTATCGCTATTTTAAGCCTAGTAGCAAGGTCAAAGATGATTCCCTAACTGTTTTGCCTTCTCCCGAAGGACCTTTGTCAAAAGTAGTTCCACCGTCGACGATTGTGGCAGCAAATGAAAAAGTGGCTGAAGCTATGGCAGGTGATACTCGAGGTGATAGAAGTGGAAGCAGCCGAGGTACCTACGAAAAGTACACTCCTACTGAAAAGGCAAAGATTGCTAACTATGCTATTCTACATGGCACAGCTGCTGCATTGAGACATTTTAGTAAAGAATATCCAAGACTGAAGTGGAGCACAGTTAATGATTGGAAAGTGGCTGCTATTAAAATGGTAAAGGATGGTGGAGTTGACGACATCAAGGTGAGAGAAATCAACGGCAAGAAAAGAGGGAGGCCTAGTTATCTAAATGA